TTTTGGCCAATATTTGTAGTTGACGTAGGATTTTAACACAACCTTCACCCCAGATCTGAACATATATATGCTGATTTATGGTCCTAATACACCCTTCATACAAGGACTATACATTTGGAGTATGAAGTTCCAAGATTGGAGATATCTACAACTGTCCAAAATCAGGATGGGATAATTTAATACTTAAACCCAAACGCTAGCTTAAAGAGTACATTGGCCATATTCCCAGCCAATATCTTACCACACAACCTTCACCCCAGGACCAAACATTTAGAGCATGAAGTTTGCAAGAATAAGCATATCTATGATTGACCCAAATTAGGATTGGATACACTTTGATACTTAACCCAAATGCTAGCTTAAGGGGGGAGTAATTAGGATTGGATACACTTATACTCAAGGATTGGATTGCCAAGTTTTATAAGAAGTATATTAGCTATATTTCTAGTTGTATCTTAACACCAGAAAACGGGGTTCTTTATGATTTCGAGCCTTGTGTCCGCATAATTGACACAACACATCATGCAAAGACAAGATTGGCTGATGATAAGATTTCTTATCCTTATGCATCTATTAATTACATCTTGTAAATTAAAGGGACTAACTTTCAAGAGATTATAATGTTAAAAATTCTGGTATAGAATGGTAAACCATTGTTTAAGACAAGAACAAATTGCAAGGTTGCAGCTGTTTGAAAATAGAATCCAAGAAAAATAAAAACATCTTATGGATGTTAAGATAAAGGCAAGCAAACCTCTTTGACACTCAAAGCTGCTCCACCTCTTGAATCACCATCAAGCTTTGTCAAGATGGCACCAGTAATTCCAATCTCAAGATTGAAAGTAGTCACCAACGCTGTACAAAGTAAATAGTAGTGTCAGAATTGTGGACTGGTTATAACTCATAGTTTAGTAACTAATAAGCTACATAAGCCGCAAAATTATACTGAAGCCAAAAGAAACAGATCAATAATATGACCATCATTAATCTATAATATTTCATATAAATATGGAAAATTTCTTTTCATTTTATTATTTATAGAAAAAATTTATATTCATGTAAAAGAGTAAAAATACACTTCTGAATACCTGCGGCTTCTTGCCCTGTCATTGCATCCACAACTAGCAAAACTTCTGTTGGATTCAATGCCCGTTTCACTTCTTTTAACTCATCCATCATTGTCTTGTCAATCTGTTTGATAAGAAATACAACTGTGATCGATAAAATAAAGAATGAAAGAAAAAATGGAATAACTTTTCATTATAAAATTTCCAATCCCATTAAAATCACCTGCAGCCTACCAGCAGTATCAACAATAACAACATCAATTTTCTTCTTTTTTGCCTCTTCCAAACCTTGTTTGGCAATTTCTGAAGGTTTAACATCGGTACCTGCTGTATAGACAGCCACATCCACCTGATACAAGCTACAACTAATTATAAATATCACTAGATATAAAAATGAGAGAAGAAAAAGATGTTAATTACATGTTGGCATATGATGTCTGAATCCCTTGGTTAAAAAATATCCATATTTTAAGACCCCAATATAGATCATTAAATAGACTAAAAATGCCTAAGAGGATATAGCTACATGTTAAAACACTACCTAACAACATAAGCATAACAGCCCATGAAAATAAAATACATCACTTCTACTACAATACCATTTCTTCATCATATTTTAATAGTAAGCAATAGAAGATAAAAAAGTTCCGATTGAAAATTTAAAATGACATTGACGGCTATATTTAAAGGACACATTTCTCAAAAATATTCCAGTACCTGTTTTCCCAAAATAGCAAGCTGGTCAATAGCAGCAGGTCTGTAAACATCCCCAGCAACTAGCATGCAACTTTTCCCCTGAGATCAAATTAATATGATTTGCTACAAATTTTCAATAAGGTGCAGGCAGGAATTACAAACTAGCAGAAATGAGAGAGTAAGTGGGAAGGAGAATAGAAGATTGGAAGGACACCTGTTTCTTGAGGTAATTTGCCAACTTTGCACAAACAGTTGTTTTCCCAACTCCCTGGAGTCCAGCCAATAAAATGACAGTGGGCCCAGATTTGGAAAAAACCAGTTCAGAAACCTCTCCACCCATCAATTGTACAAGTTCATCATGTACAATCTGCGAAACCCGATGATCAACAGAACACCCATTAAATTCTTATATAGATATTCAGTACTCAAATCATATGTAATGATTTGTTTACTCGTCTAACAAAATTTAGTTGTCGCAAATGATGCAGTATTCATATGGAGCATTCCATGGAATGGAACAAATTTCAAATGCAATTTGACACCCCAATGCCACCACACGAAAAATGGAGACAAAATCAGTTGAAATCTAGTGCAAATTTTAGATTGTTCAAAATAAACCTTATTGGAGCCTGAAAAGTTTTTGTAGGACTGAAATTGAAATTTCTTGCAAAATGGAAGCAGTGCAAGAAAATGGAGAAGTTGCACCTTAGTTTACCATGATGACTTGAAGATAATATAAATACTAGTACACTAAGTTTTAAGTCACTGGCAAATAATAATGACTGACTTTGGACTCTCTGCAACCACATTAGTTTGTAATTTCTCACAATGTCAAAGATCACAACAAAACCACGACCTTAATTCAAAACCTTGGCTTATGAGCAGTGTTCAACTAAATGATTTTACCTTAACCAATTGCTGATCTGGTCTGACTCCTCGAATGACACCAACTCCCACAGCCTGATCACTGACAGACTGCACAAACCTCCTCACAACAGGAAGACTAACCTGCCATCACAACACAGCACCATAAGTTACCCACTTAACTTTCCAAAGACAACTCAAAATGCAACTTACATCAGCTTCTAGAAGAGCTCTCCTAATATCTCGCATAGGCTCCACAATGTTCTCTTTAGACAAAACCTCTACACAAAAACAAACATTCACCAGATCAACAACCTAAACAATCGATTAAATCGTCAATTACAGCAAAATTTAAAAAAAAAAAAAAAAAAACCTTCTCCTTTGAGCTTGTTCCATGCAGTCTCAAGGCCATTGGTCAATTGGCCGAACATTTCGGCCCTCACCACCACTCCGCGCGTGTCCCTTCTCACAGCCACGCCCTTGGAGTTCACCCAACCCCATACCTCTTTCTGCCACGCACCAAATCAATTAATCAAGTAATCATCAGTAAAGAAACGCGCTTCCAAAGAGTAAGGTGCTTACCGCGAACAAGTTTCTGGAGGATAGGGAAGCAGTGGTGGAAGTAGAAGAAAGCTTGATTGATTTGGCAGAAGAAGAGTGAAAGGTTCGATTGTGAGAGAGAGAAAGGGAGAGAGTGGAGAAATGGCGGGAGCATGCTACAGCGTCCATGTCCTCTGCACTGCACTGCACCTGCTTCCTTCCTTTCTATCTTTTATCCACAGCCACAACTCAACGATGCATGCACACTTGTATTTAACAATTTTACAATTTAATAATATCTAAAACTCGTTTCAAAGATCTTACAACCAAAAGAAAATACTGTTTTAGAATAAATTAATCTTAACTCAAATATAAAGCTTTTATTTTTTTTTTATATAAAGAACTAAAATTAATTTTCACAATAAAATAAAAAATTAAAACACTTTTTTTCCCAAAAATTTCACAGTCCAGAAAATTTTGTCCCCTAATTTAATAAGTGTCGTGAATTTTATTCTCACATAAAAATTGTGACAATATAAAAAGAAAATCGCCTCTACATTATCTTAATTGTCACGGCTTACAAAAAACTTCCATAAAATTATTTTAATTGTGGTGATTTTTCTTCGCGGAATAAAACTTTGTAATTTTATAAATTGGTGACAAAATTTAAGAAGAAATGTTTGAGGACAAAATTTACGATATTGTGAAATTTTAGAGAAAAAAGTATAATTAAAATTCAAATAAAAATATATTTAACCAAGCGTGTGGTTCAGTGGTAGGGGTTGATCCACGCTTAAGCAAGGTCAGGGGTTCGAATCCTGTCTTGTGTATGCAGCCACGTTAAATCTTGGGGCCATCTTGGGGCCAGCTATCCCACCCTTTTGAGGTGCCTCCAACGTAGCGAGGAGATTAGTCACTGTTATCGGCAGTGATACTCCAGGAACGAACAAAAAAAAAATTGAAGTGTTATTCTTTTATCTAAAGACGTCATAAAAAAAAATGGATACTCCAGGAACGAACAAAAAAAAAATTGAAGTGTTATTCTTTTATCTAAAGACGTCATAAGCAGACTGAAAAAAAAAATGAAGGCAAAATTATAAACTTGGAAGATTATAATTTATAACCTCCTTTGCAATCTTCTTAAATGACACCGGCCCCTCTTGCAGTTTTTAAACATACACTCACTTCCCTTATATTTTTAATATCGTGTCAATCATACCCCATATTTTATTTTACTGAGTGAGATAATTTCCACATTTTCAAGTTTCTGACTAGAATATACAAACTTAATCAACCCAACTACATTTCATAGGATTGAATTGTCAAGTTTGGTTTAACTTCATATTGGTTGATCCAATTATGATTATGTTGAATGTTTAGCTAATGATTATTTCTTTACTAAATTTAGCTACTGAAACTGAAAACCATTTAACCAACTCAATATGATATACAGATAATATTAATAATAAAATAATAATTATCGTAATTTATCGGTTTGTGATTAATTTTTATTGTGCTTGAGTTGAAGTGTTTATTTATGAATCTTTTTAAATTTTTTGCATATTATACTTATTTTGATTATAGTTGTGATATAATTGTACAAGATTATTTTTTAAATTTCCATAATATTATCATTTAAATAGATTAATCCATAAATCAACTGATTAAGATCATATAGGCTGAGATTAATCAAAATACCGAAACACAAGCCAACCTAACTATATTTCATTAATCACCTTGTTAAGCAAGAAATGCTGCTGTACCGACTGAATTGGGTGAAGACTTTTACCTTTCACACGTTTTCCATTGCTCTGTATTAAGAGTATCCAAACATTAAAATGATAACCTTATTCTATTCCACTCCATATTAATTCATCTGTTCAAACCATTTCAGTCTTCCTTAAATATCCACACAGCGTTTAAAGGCCAGTCTTCCATACAAAAATGCGTTACAAAAAACATACAAACAATATTGAATTTGTTAAACTCTATACTTGAGAAACAAAAAGAAAAACGTTAGCAGTCTGCATGGTTAATGACTTAGAATAGAAGTAGGAAACATGGTTAAGAAACTCACCCAGAAACAACAACAGAAAAACACACACCAACACAAGTATTGAGCATTTCGAAACGTGGAAACAAATGGAGACCACCCCTTTACACCTTGTCCTTTCCATTCCCTTTCCTTCCCAAAAGGACCATATGAGAGTGCTCCCACAACATGGATGCACTCCCTTATGAAATCAGCAATTATGCAACTCACAAGGGATCCATATTTGCTGAAATCACACATCATGGGAGTACTAGATTTCTTCTGTCATTCTGTCCCCCTGGCAGCAAAGATAAATGGATCAGATGCCATTCAACGCCAAGCTTCAGCCAACTCGGTTCTCGAATTTATACGCCCAATAATTGCAGTTCCTCGGTTCTTCTCTGCAGCTCCTACTACTGGAAGCTCGATCACCTTTCTAGAACACTTGTCAGTATCATAAGTACTCAACTGAAGGCTTTTGCTCCGGCAAATTCTTGCTTGAACCCCCTTTGTCGGCGTGGTAGCGAGGCTGCAGTCTTGAAGTCCAATTGCTAAAGAGCAAATTTGAGATACGAGATTGCAAGGACAACTGTCAAGCAGCAACCTATTTCCACTAGAAATAAAATTTTCAGTGGATTTTGGCAAAGTTTTCGATTCAGTTTCACAGCCATCTTCAGTAAGATGACTAGGGCTTTGTTGAGAAGGCTCTGCAGTGACAAATACTGTGTCCTCATTATCATCATTACAATCATTTCCATTTTCACTGTCGTCCTGGTGAAGCATCTCTGAATTGCTATGGTGGCCGTCATCGTCAAAAGAGTTAAGGTTGGGAACAGGATTTGACTTTACAATAGATTCCTCTCTTTCTCTCAGTGTCTTCACAACAAGAGTCTTGAGAAAATTCATGACTTGTACTGCATACATCAACGCAGTCAAAGGATCTGCCATCTGTAGATACATGCCAGACAGAAATGCTGTTATTGTGCCGCATTGATTAATCATAACCATAGACCAACACTATAATTTTGTATAACATGCTAGAAACAAAAGGAACACAGGCACACACAAACCAGTGTCAATCAGAAATGCTGTTATTGCACTGTAAATCAACCATAACCGTTGCCCAAGACAATAATTTAACATGGCAAATTGGAAGGGGAAAAAAAAAAAAAAAAAAAGGAATGCAGGGACCACTGCAAAACTTAAAACCTAAAGTGGAAAATTTTCTGAAATCTGAATATTAACAAGAAAAAGAATTTCCCACGTTTACATAAACTTCTCTGGTTTGAACATACCATGCCATTCTGAATAAAATATTCGACCATGTAAAGGATCGTGTCTTGTTCCACAAGAAGCACATGATTTAGCACAATGAGCCTAGACTATACCTCTAGCGAAGAGTATTCATCTGACCAGGGTATCCATATCGGATACTCTCTCAAGAAAAGAAAAAATCAATATAATAATTATGAAGAAACAGCATGTCAGATGTTAACCATGACGGACTCAACATAACCAAACAACATAATAAACTAACCTTATTCTCGATTGAAATAAGATAAACCAGCGTACGATAAATTCGCGAAATAACAAACAGTATCAAAACAAAAGCCTCAATTTAAAAACTAAAATCCTAAAACTACTAGCCCATTTTATATCCAATAAGATGAGGTTGACTTGTACAAATTAAATAACAAAAGTAGGGGCTAAGAGCAGAACTGTAAACTATATTTTGCAACAGAAAATAATTTAGTCTTACTTGAGTCATATTTGGTGCAAAAACCATAGCAATATTACGCGCATTCATCTTGTTCAAGTTTTCCATTTGAGCAACATCTGCCATCAAGTTTATTGCCCAATCTAGCAAAGCAGCTTCTGTTGGAGGAAGAAGCCTCACAAGCTGAGTACATTCTTCTTCTGACTGGGATTGCATCACCTGCTCTGGTGAAAGAGGGTCCAATACCCCAGTTGGTAGTTCTCTGAACCAAGCCTATGAAGGAACACAAGCACATTAAAATTAATGAAATAACCTCTTTGATATGTTTGCCTTAATGAGTTACTGGCCTCTTTAATGCTCCTTCCCTCTGCCCCATGGTTTAAAAAGGGGAAATAATTAACATGTGTGTATTTATCAAATTCCCCCAGACAATTTCAAATAGGAGACTGGACCAAAAATCCAAGACCCTCATTCCAAATAATTCTCAATATGTTTGGAAAATAATAAAGTGATTTTAAACAGAAAAAAAAAATAGTAATACCTTTATAAGACCCGCTAAGCAGTGCACATCAATGCCATTTGGTACTACTCCTCTGTTTAATTGTTCCCTCACAAACTCCTCTTGACCATTTTCAGCATTAATTCTGAAGATTCCTTCAGCCTGGATGTGTACATTTAAATTTATAAATTTCAATTTCAAAATTCAAGTCTAATCGAAATTAAACAACAAATCGTACAAAAGATTTATGGTAAAATCAGAAGTAAAATGTAGAAATTGTTCACCCACTAACTCAGTTCAAGTAGCATATTAATTCAAATCGTCTTTGGATTCTCGCCAACAAGGCAGCAAAAGACAAAGAAGCTAGGCTAAATACCTGCAGACCTCCTTGTGCATACAAATGTCTTTGCATTAAGAGCAGTATTGTAGGTACACTATTTCCTCTGGCATCAAAAGAAAGCTGCATAGATTCTGTTGAAACTCCAAAAACATTTGCACTGCAGATAGTAAATGAAAATATATTAATATTTAACAAGATAATACAATTCAGGGTGCATTCATCGGACATGTTTTTGGGAAATAGAAAAGGTAAGAGAAATGTCATGTGAATATATTATTAGTATCTTTAAACAATCTTCTCTATAAGCACTTCTGAGAAGAAAAACATATGAAGAGAAGATGAAATAAATTTCTTCTCAAGTTAAAACTAGCTTATAACTTAGCATAAGCTAATTTGGAGAAGCTTTATGATAGAGTCTTTAGAAATTAGTTTATGCATAAACATTTCTTTCTTATTTTTTTCTCTAGACGTGCTACCCGAAATATTTATCCAAACAATCCCTATATCCATGTCTAGGTAATGATAAAACCACAATTAGCACGCATTAACTTAATATCTCATTATCTCAATATGGAAACAAGAACTAACAAAATCCCATGCCATTTGTTGAGAATCGGATACGAATTTTAAAATTGATCATCACACAAATTCTCTACATGAAAAATCTAGAATTTTAAAAGGGGAACATTAACATAGATTTATTTCCAAGAAAACACCCTTTTCAGAACCCAACCTCATAAAAAGAGCACGACTCCAAAGGCAACAAATTTGGAAGAAAGATTGAATTTTGAATGAACCCCAAGTTGATTAGGAACGTACCTGGCACTGGGAGGCCTCCTGGGAACATCAGGTTCAAACTCAACAGGCAAACCAAGAAAGCCATGGAATCGATCGAAGGTAACATGTGCCACGTGTCTGACATTGGAAGGCCACCCAATCTCCATAGAAGAAGAAGAAGATAAGTCACCGGGCGTGGTGGTGCTGCAACCAATCAAAGACTTCCTGAAAGTATCAATCAAAAGGGTCAAAAGGGAAAGCTGATCCCTCTCTCTCTCCCTTTCTTTTTCTTCCTCTTCTTCTTCTTCTTCTTCTTCTTCTTCTTCCTCTGCCACCCCTTGTTGTTGCTCCACAGTGGGAGCGTTAATAAGGGGACTTGGGTGCGACCCATCATTGGGTGTGAGACCACCACATGAACAGCTTGAGGATGAAGGCAACTGAAGCACTTCCGTCATATTTGATTCTTTCCCTTTTAATAACAATAATAAAAATGATATTTTTATTAATGCTATTCTACACCAAAAAGAAAAGAAAAAAAAAAGGGAAGATTTTGGTGGAGTAGAGTTTCGTTCAAGAAATGGGTGACGGAAGGTGAGACGTGACCATCATTACTGTGTGGCTATTCAGAGATGAATCATGTCATATGAGAGAGAGAGAGAGAGGTGGTTGGTAATGGAATGGTTTAGGGTGAAGTGGAGATGAAGAGAGAGAAAGAAATGTAATAATTTTTGAGTAATGTAATGTGTTTTGAAGGTGGCACTGTTCTGGCAGTGGCAAGCAATGCTTTCTTTCCACCTCATACCATGCCATTTCCCAATCTTGTAATAATTCATTCACTCACTCCTATCCTATTCCTATCTATCTAATTTTCTTTCTAACTTTTTTTCTTCCCAGATTCACTTCCAAGGATCACATAAATCACCCCCACTTTTCCAGAACAAGCCTTTTTTTTTTTTTTTTTTTCCATCTGGTAATGTAAAATTCAACATTGAATTATAGGCCAGGCTAAAATAATGAAAGTCTCTAAATTTAAAAGAATATTTATAAAAAAATTATATTTATCTTGTAAGGAAATAGTAAAAGTTTGAATTTATAATTTACATATTTCGATATCTTCTCTCTATTATTTAAAAATGTAGACACATGTATTTACTTGTATATGATTCAATAATACATTTATTAATATTATATGCAAGTTCAAAATACTTATTATCAACTTTTTTATTTTTTATTTTTACTTTTTATTCAAATGTTTTGTTTCTCATTTTAAATCTCTTTAATTATTACTGCTGTTCATAAGTATATTTTCATATAATCAAAAAGAAAAAAAGAAAAATGTTCAAAAACACAAATACTAATATAATTTTTAATATTATTAATGTAATACTTTTTAGTATATGAATAAACATTTTTCTTAAATAGTATTATATATTAAATATAATATAATATAATATTTATAAAAATAGAAAAAAAATTATTTTTCTCTCATACAGTATTTATTTATTTATTAAATATTATATATATAAATTTAATGATTTATAAAATATTAT